ATGTAGGTTCCCCTTGATCCCTCGTTGTGTATGTTATATTTTGAGACTGATCATAAAAACAAAATGGATTAAAAGAAGAACTAAACAGATCTTTCTCATATTGCAATGATCGATTCTATTTCTTTCACATTAAGTACTGTACTAGTAAATATGTGAAATGACAAACTCACTTTGAAGGTTGGCTTTCATACACATCAGTATTAAGTTTAGATCAAAAGTTACCTCAAGGTGCATTTACTGTTAACATGACTCGATCAAACAGATTAGAGGAAAGAAGAGAAAAGATTGAACTGACAAAGAACTAATTATAATGAAGATGGTACAATGGTGGGTGCCAAGATCCCTCTGGGATCTCTTGTTACATTTTTTTTAGGCATATAATACTCTAAATGCAGCTATATATACTCATTAGAAGACACTTTGATTTGAAGTCATAGTTTTGCTAAACTGATTTATTTATGTTTATAGGGAACCATCAGTGAGCCTGGCTTAGGTCTTCTATCGTGGTGGAACACAGGATAGAGACTAATGGACAATGAAATGTGGTACACAGGAAAACTCCAAGAGCTACTGGACAAGGAAAAGTGGAAAACAGGAAACTCAAACAGCTATTAGCTGAGGAAAAGTGGAAATCTGGAAACTCAAAGAGGTACTGGACAAGGAAAGTTAAAAAACAGAAAACTCTGAGAGCAACTGGACAAGGAAAGGTGGAAATCTGCAAACCCCAAGAGGTACTGGACAAGGAAAGTTAGAAAATAGAAAACTCTGAGAGCTACTGGACAAGGAAAGGTGGAAATCTGGAAACTCCAAGAGCTACTGGACAAGGAAAGGTAGAAAACAGAAAACCCTGAAAGCTATTAGCCAAGGAAAGGTGGAAAACTCCAGGTAGAGGAAAAATGGACAACTGGAAACTCAGGATAGAGGCTACTGGAAAAGTAAAAGTGATCACTGGAACCACCAGCAAGAGAATAGTGGACATAGAAATGAAGAAAACCAGAAACTCCAGATCAATGCTTTTGGATAGAGAAAGGTGGAGTTAAGGGATAAATGTGTTGGAAGGATACTTGACACATAAAACAACACTGATGCTACCCATAAGTGTTGACACATAAAACAACACTGATGGTACCCATAAGTGTTGACACATAAAACAACACTGATGGTACCCATTAGTGTAGACACATAAAACAACTCTGATGGTACCCATTAGTGTAGACACATAAAACAACTCTGATGGTACCCATTAGTGTAGACACATAAAACAACACTGATGGTACCCGTAAGTGTTGACACATAAAACAACACTGATGGTACCCATTAGTGTTGAAACATAAAACAACACTGATGGTACANACATAAAACAACACTGATGGTACCCATAAGTGTTGACACATAAAACAACACTGATGGTACCCATAAGTGTTGACACATAAAACAACACTGATGGTACCCATTAGTGTTGACACATAAAACAACACTGATGGTACCCATAAGTGTTAAAAGATGAACCAACCATTGGAAGGCATTGTCAGAGGACACTAGTGATAGGAATGCTGCTGGTTGTAGTCGACACCAACTTCTCTAACGAAATAACGAAATCTGATTTGATGTGACACACTGTTGTTTTTCACTTAGCAGGTAACTTGTATGTCTTTAATGTTCTCTTTCACTGGTCCTCTAATGTACTCAGTTTTATATTTGGTACTGTCAAGGTCAGTGTGACATTGTCTACTGTTACTGGTCACCNAGTGTGAGATTGTCTACTGTTACTGGTCACCTAATGTACTCTGTATTATATCTGCTACTGTCAAGGTCAGTGTGAGATTGTCTACTGTTACTGGTCACCTAATGTACTCTGTATTATATCTGCTACTGTCAAGGTCAATGTGAGATTGTCTACTGTTACTGGTCACCTTATATACTCAGTTTTATATCTGGTACTGTCAAGGTCAGTGTGACATGATATTTTTTATTGTATGTCAGCTAACCACTCTTAGAATGATGAAGATCTTATTTCAATGTAAGAAAGTATATAACACTATATGGCATTCAACAGGCTTATATTGTTCCGCCTGCGTTACTTTTGTTATGGAGTTATGGCCCTTGGTTGAAAAATCCTTGCCCTGACAACTTCTCCTAATCTACTCGGCCAATTTCAAAGAAAGTTTACATATATGGCAACTGCCCCTTGATGTTGTGCATCCAATAGTACTTTTTCATTCCGACCCTTTTTAAGGAGTTATGTCCCTTTGTTAAAAATCTTTATCCTGACATCTCTTCCTTTACTACTAGGATGATTCAAAGTTGTTCATCTGGGCTAACAACATTTCGTTTGCAAGTATTTTTTGGCATTGAGAGGGAGTACAGGAAGTATGTGAGTGACATATATACTCAAAGAAGTGTACAGCTCAGCCAATAAAAAAATCATTACTGGTGGGACTATATTGCTTTGCAATGCTTCGCCTTAGTAAGCCTTTAGCTTACAGTTCTGGTTTATATAGGAGCGGGAGGGTATTAGTTAGCCTTTGGCTTACAGTTCTAGTTTTTAATGTGGAGAAGTTAAAAGAATACTATTTTATTGTTGTGAATGTGTGTGATTGTGTGTGTTATTGTGGATGTGAAAGGCTGTTAAAGAGTGTTTACTTTTGTAAATTATGTTGAAAATAAAATATTTGATAATTACATGTATTTTGATAAGTTCCTCATTGTTTTTAGCGCACCTGGTCCTAAGGTCAAAGGTGAACTAATGCCTTATTGTATTGTCTATCAACAGTTTCTTCAAGCAACTTCTTCTGAACTGCTTATTGGCATTTTTGACCAAATTTGACTGAAAGCATCTCAAGGTCAGGGGATTCAAACTTGTACAAATGATGCCCAGGGGCAGGACCAAAAGTAGGTAGTGTCTGTAGTAGGTAGTGTCTGTAGTAGGTAGAGGTCGTTTTGATTTAAACAACTTCTCTAAAGCAATGTGATAGATATTAGGTTGGCAGTTTTCTTTGGAAATGGGAGTACAAAATTTGTACAAATGGAGGAGAAACAGTCAAGATCCCCATCCTATAGCCAACTATTTATACATCTGCTGTGCAAGAAAGTTCAAATACACATATGCTACTAGCATATGCCTCAGGGTCTGTCCCCTCCGTAAGAACTTAGTTCCTGGGCCATACAATGAAAAAGTTTGGATCCCCCCCTATGAAGAGAAGAATACACATACTTAACAGGATTGGTCCCATTCTTGGTGACTTGATGAAACTTGTATCGCGGAAACGACATATTCCACTCGTAGTCTGTAACACTGTACCAGGTTTTAAACTTGATTGTCTATGTTACGATACACCTACAGCAATATCTAGGCGTTGACTCGGTAATAATAGCAAATATTTGATCAATATGAATTTTATATACCGACCTGCATATACAGAAACTACACAACAACAAACAGTGAAATCAAGCACATCACGTTTGGTATAGTGCGCTAGCATTGTATATGGAAATATAATTTCGTTTATAATACCATACCCGGAGGCGGTTCAAAGATCCGAAATACGGATTGGAACTTCGAAATATTTATTTTTATTAATTTCCGAGCATTAATGCTACTTGATTTTTACATATATAAAATATAAGTGTGGGGAAAAGATACAGGATCCATATTTAGGCAAAAGGGGGTGGGGGAACAGAGTTCTAACTTCAAGTGAGCAAAATTGCAAAATTTTTCACTGAGAACCCCATGCTTTTTTATGCTTACCAAAAAGCATATAAACTTGGCTGTCTTCTGTCAAAAAGTTTTCTAAAATTGGGTTTTGGTAGCATTTTTGCTTGTTTTAATGCATTTGTTCGACACGCTCAAGTGGATTGAAAGCTTCCTATCCGACCGTATTCAGAAGGTTATCCTTTAGAGCCAACAGTCATCAACATCTCCAGTAACAGCAGGAGTTCCTCAAGGAACTGTCCTCGGACCTCTACTAGTCCTGGTCTTCATCAATGATCTCCCCTTGTGTGTAACATCCACTCCATGCTTGTTCGCTGATGACTGCTTGTTGTTATTTCCACTCGTGACGACTCTGCACAACTACAACAAGACCTAACAGACTACAGGAATGGGAGGATAGATGGCAGATGAGGTTCAACCCAGAGAAATGTGAAGCCATCCGGATATCCAGGAGGAGGAATCCTTTGGTTACGACCTATTCCATCCACGGTCAAGATTTAGAGACAGTCCCGTCGGCAAAGAACCACCAGTTGTCTTACATCCTGACATTGACCACTTGACCCCATACCTTACACCCTGGTACCTAACAATATAGAACCCCCAGTTGTCTAACATCCTGACAATGCCCACTTGACCCCATACCTTACACCCTGGTACCTGACAATATGGAATCACCAGTTGTCTTACACTCTAACATTGACCACTTGAACCCATACCTTAAATCCTGGAACTTGCCAGTATAGACCCACCAGTTGTCTAACTTCCTGACAATGACCACTTGAAGAAATACCTTAAATCCTTGAACTTGCCAGTATAGACCCACCAGTTGTCTTACATTCTAACATTGACCACTTGAAGCAATACCTTAAATCCTTGAACTTGCCAGTATAGAACCACCAGTTGTCTAACATCCTGACAATGACCACTTGACCCCATACCTTACATCCTGGTACCTGCCAGTATAGAACCACCAGTTGTCTTACATCCTGACAATGATCACTTGACCTGGTACCTTACATCTTAGAACCGGCCAGTATAGAATCACCTGACCCGGTACCTTACATCCTGGTACCTGCCAGTATAGAACCACCAGTTGTCTTACATCCTGACATTGACCACTTGACCCAGAACCTTACATCCTGGTACCTGCCAGTATAGAACCACCAATTGTCTTACATCCTGACATTGACCAAGTACCTTACATCCTGGTACCTGCTAGTATAGAACCACCAGTTGTCTTACATCCTGACAATGATCACTTGACCCTGTACCTTACACCCTGGTACCTGACAATATAGAACCACCAGTTGTCTTACATCCTGACATTGACCACTTGACCCAGAACCTAACATCCTGGTACCTGCCAGTATAGACCCACCAGTTGTCTTACATTCTGACATTGACCTCTTGACCCAGTACCTTACATCCTGGAACTTGCCAGTATAGAACCACCAGTTGTCTAACATCCTGACAATGATCACTTCACCCGGTATCTTAAATCCTGGTACCTGCCAGTATAGAACCACCAGGTATCTTATATCCTGACATTGACCACTTGACCCAGTACCTTACATCCTGGTACCTGACAATAAAGAACCACAAGCTGTCTTACATCCTGGCATTGACCACTTGACCCTGTACCTAACATCCTGGTACCTGCCAGTATAGAACCACCAGTTGTCTTACATCCTGACATTGACCGCTTGACCTAGTACCTTGCATCCTGGTACCTGCCAGTATAGAACCACCAGTTGTCTTATATCCTGACATTGTCCACTTGACCCAGTACCTTACATACTTGTTCCTGATAGTATAGAACCACCAGTTGTCTTACATCCTGACATTGACCACTTGAACCTGTACCTTACATCCTGGTACCTGCCAGTATAGAATCACTTGACCTGGTACCTTACATCCTAATAGAGGCACCAGCTGTTTCTGGTTCACAAAATCTTATTTGGGTATAAAGTCTTTCAAATACAATTTAACATTTGACCGTGGTCATTAAATTCTTCAAATTGAATTTGATAAGTTCCTCAGGGTAAAACCCCAAATCTAGGCTTGTAAAATCAATTACTTTACAAATACTAATATCATGTCAGAATAAGGGTTCTATGTCTTTTGAACCTCAGTCAGGTTTAATTATTATGGAGCTAAACATTCGACCTGTAATTGTTCTATGCTTGCTCATTTAGTTTATAGTAAAAGTCTGTTTCTCTCTCTGTTTACTCAAATGTCTCCCTTAACCATGTGGAATCTATCAAACTTGTCCACACAAACAGTTACCTCCAGATCTGGACTTTCATTATTTACTCATCTGACCGAAAAAGCCAAATGAACTTATGTCGTAATGGCATAGCATCTGTTGTCTGTTTGGGTGGAGTCAATTTTTTCTTTCATAGACAATCCTCTAGTCGTTCTAGAACGGCTGAACGAACTTGTGAAGAAGCTTCCCTAGACCAGGGAATTTAATGTTATATAAATGAAGAGGGTGGTGTCAATAAAAGTAAACAATAAAGCTTATTTTGAGGCAGGAATGCAGGTGCAGGGATTTTAACCAGTAATTGGCATGGAGCACCCCTGAGTCTAGGGAATTAATTGGAAGGACACAGCTAAAAAGAGCAAAGGATGAGGTGTTAAATATTTAGCAAAAGCCAATCGGAAGTTATTTTAACTCATTAACCTATGAAGACACATTTGAACTCTTCCAATTCGATGGCTGGAATAGTTCATTAAAAAATTTCAGGGGTGAATGAGTTAATGCTGTTGGTCAATGAACAATTGGAAAAAAAATTGAAGAGACTTTTAGAATTTAAGTGAGTTACAAAAAGCTGGGTTGAGCACAGAATCCATATTTCCATGACGCTCATCATTTATCTTAATGACGGAGAAGTCGTGTATCGGATTAAGACGATTCTTTACATTGATTTAAAATACAGTTAAAGTTGGTTAAGCACATAGTGGGAATCAATAAAGACCACAACAAAAGATCAACAGCATTGTGAATTGTTCTATATTAGTCACAACAATGTCGGAGGATCTGTGGATATCGTCCTATTTCTGTCACCATTGACATGTTCCCGGTCCCTACTGATTGTCACACATAGGCACAGAGTACAGAGCTTAAACATTCCAATTAGCAGGCACCGCCAAAATATTGAAAACAGTTGATCATGTGTTGTATTGAAAACTTTTATTGTCATGAATCATTCCATCAGTTCATCTCAAACGCTTAGATGATGTCATAACACTTTACTGTGGTATTGATCACAGGGACAAGGCACATATTATATAAGCGCGTAGGGGTCGGGGTTAGTATGTACCTAACCCCTATGGTATTGATTACATTTTAAAATAGAAATAGGTACACCCGACTGTTACAACAACAGTCCGGGATCGTGAGAGCATTATCCGTACTAAGTTTGGTTACCATTGATCTGGTTGAAGTTTGGAAGTGGAAATTCAACTCCACAGGGCCAAATGTAACCACACTTAATATAAATGATGTTATCATGGTCCAAAATGTATAGGTTGATTCTTTATTAAGATGTATAACCTGGTCCTGTAACTGGCAGAGACATTTTGACTACCTTTTCAATTTCACTTGTCAATTTTAACCAAATGTTATTTGCGTCATACACATGTTCTTATCATTACCATTATGAAGTCTTGTTTTAATTGTTCACTACAGTCTCTCAAGTGAGAGAAGCCACTCCAACTTCTGGTTCTTAAAATATTTAATGCCTTCTATACAAGAACAAGAACTCCTGTATGATTCAATCACCTTTCTGATCACGACTTTGTTACCATTGCTGTTTCAAATGTTTTTAATTGTAAGACCATTGGACGATGCACGCCGCACTGCGTGACCTACATATATGTGGACCTTGACGCGCCCGTGGAATGGCGGTCATTGATGGCTTCCTACTGGGACACAGTAGATGGATGTTCCTGGAAAGGACACTCCAAACCCCATTTGTGAAAACTGTCTTAATATAGATCTGCAAGCGATCTGATCGCTAGGATTGACCGAAGTTAAGGTTTTTCTCGCAGTATTTTTGGTCGTGTATGACATTGCCGGGTTTTAGTATGATATATAGTGTCTACATTGTGTAATGACTGCCGTAACGTTAAACAATGATATCCTGTCCTATCGATATTTAGCGACTACTTCCGGTTATTTTCAAAATGTTTTAAATGTAGATGCCTTGTTTGTGTATTTGGTCTCTGAGGACGACTGTTGGAAGTACTGAAGTCTTGATGATTGGTAAACAGGTTCAGTTTTTCAAAGTCGCTATCGTCCATCTGTTTTACATTACCACTGGTCGTTTATCGATTTTATGAAATAATAATAACCATAATTTAGTAGGGAATAGCCGAACATAACTGGCGTAATTGATTTGATACTTCTGGGAGTAGAATGTATGTATAAAGAGTATAGACGTAATTAAGTGTCTGAACGGCTCGATCTCCACCCCGGGCCTGGACTCATTACAAAGGTAGCTAACCATGTAATAGCGACAAGCACACCTCAACTTGGCCGGGTTGATACGAATTTGCGAGAAACGAATTAAATCAGTTCGATCCAATACCGTTAAACTTTCTCAATTATTTTTATCACTCAAAAGTAAGAGTTGTGCCAAGCCACTTGAACAACCAATATCTGCGCGGCTATTTATACCGAGCACTGGAGGTACACCTGTACTTCTTATTTTCTACTTAGTTATTGGTTGTGGAAACTTTGGACAAGCTGCTTGGACATTCATTACGAAGACGAACCAAACTGACGCGAAAATAAATTGTAGGATACACGATTTTACTTTAAACAGTACATTCCACTTCAAAGGGCTCGTTCGTTCTAATAGGTATTGGGTGCCTAACCCCGTTCGACGGATATGTGTTCCCTCGTGATTCAGAAATGGCTCTTCCGCTGTTTTGGTGCCGTGTTAGAATATCTGGCTGTCATCTATGTCACAACAGCTTTCTCAATCATTCGGTTAACAGTTTCAGATCGCGAGATATGAGGAAGACGATTCGCTCACGCTCTGGTACTCTACCGTGTGGCCGAGATCAATACCAGTCGACAGTCACTGCATTGCAATTGGTCGATATAATCCCGAAATATCTCTATACATGCTGAAAGTACGTGTGTTCGTACGGAACATGACAGAACATGAGCGTATGGAGATGCACGTGGGGTGGCACGGATATGACACATGACATGTTGGTCTTCGAGTCGTCACACAGTGTCTGGCTTGTCCTTCTCATGGAGCCGTATATGACGCTGCCGCCTTGTCGCGGGGACAATTCGACACAATTGTCCTAGCCTGATGCCATTTGATTTAGCTGCATATTTCGCCTGTCGACTTGTATTAACGGAAATCTAGGTTCGGACTAATTATAGCTCCAATCGCAGACAAATTACAATTTCGTTTAGCTCTGCAACGTCTAATGCGAAATAGAGTAATAGCATTTTGGCACAATTTTTTTCTTTGTAAATGGACTATGACGTCGTACATAACAAGGACATGTCAAGTGGGAACCATTAGCTTTTGGACGTGTCAATGGTAACAAGATTTAGCATCGGGCTCTATCGAAACAGCAGCTTGAGATTGGACAACCAAGGATTACAAGGCGCTAGAGGGAAACCTCACATTAAATCACTTCTGCAACACAGGCAAATTAAAACACAACAACTTTTCATGTCTGTATTTTGTTTAATTTCTTAAAATTGTGTTTAAATTTTGTTTCAATAAAAATGTGTTATATCCACTCGCTCTCGCCAGCGCCACCTACAGCCACGACATGCACACACCTGTACTAAACAGATACAAACACGCCTGTATTATATATGTACAGACACATATGTACTATATATGTACAGACACAATTGTACAACATACGCACAGAGACCTGCCTGGTGCCTGTAATGTACAACACGTGTGCACCTGGATAGGAAACTCCTGTACAAATACACAACACATGTACAGGTGCACCTGGACAGGAAACACCTGTACACATACACAACACATGTACAGGTACACATGGACAGGAAACTCCTGTACACATACACAACACATGTACAGGTACACCTGGACAGGAAACTCCTGTACACATACACAACACATGTACAGGTGCACTTGGTACAGGAAACACCTGTACACTTACAACACATGTACAGGTGCACCTGGACAGGAAACTCCTGTACACATACACAACACATGTACAGGTGCACCGGTACAGGAAACACCTGTACACATACAACACATGTTAAGGTGCACCGGTACAGGAAACACCTGTACACATACACAACATATGTACAGGTACACATGGACAGGAAATACCTGTACACATACATACCACATGTACAGGTGCACCGGTACAGGAAACACTTGTACACATACACAACACATGTACAGGTACACCTGTACACATACACAACACTTGTACATGTACACCTGGACAGGAAACACCTGTTAACATACACAACACACATACTATATCCTTTCACTGGGGACAAGGACAAAAACTTAAAACCAAATTAACTTGAAAATGCAAAATCTTGATAATCGGTGCGAGCTGTTGACTAGAAAGGAGCTTATGTTCTAATTACGTAAACGATGTATGTCATACTTCCGGTAACCAACCCCTGTACTCAACTGGTTCACGTCCACCATACTAATCACTTCGTGATCAACCTACATCCGACAGACGAATACTTTATTTGTGCTATGATGTGGTGTACAGACGGTTATACCTAACAATGACAATTATCAGTCCCATTTTTTGTTGAAGAAGGAAGACACGCCGACATCAGTATAGATTGTATCAAGCAGGGCCATTACACCAACTCTCATCCCGATATTGGTGAACAAGGGCATAGCTTTGACATAAACTATAAAACGCGTTAGATTTTTTCCCTATAAACTGACGAATGACGAAGCTCTATACAAATTTGTGGTAAGTGTTTAGTCAGAAATGCGAGTCATTCAACCGAGTAGGAATACCAACTCCCACCCCTCTCTGTGTACACAAGGACTTTAACATTGCGACCCGACAGTAATACCAACTCCTACCCCTCTCTGTGTACACAAGGACTTAAACATTGCAACCCGACAGTAATACTAACTCCTACCCCTCTCTGTGTACACAAGGACTTAAACATTGCAATCCGACAGTAATACCAACTCCTACCCTCTCTGTGTACACAAGGACTTTAACATTGCAACCCGACAGTAATACCAACTCCTACCCCTCTCTATGTACACAAGGACTTTAACATTGCAACCCGACAGTAATACCAACTCCTCCCCCTCTCTGTGTACACAAGGACTTAAACATTGCGACCCGACAGTAATACCAACTCCTACCCCTCTCTTTGTACACAAGGACTTTAACATTGCGACCCGACAGTAATACCAACTCCTACCCCTCTCTATGTACACAAGGACTTAAACATTGCGACCCGACAGTAATACCAACTCCTACCCCTCTCTGTGTACACAAGGACTTAAACATTGCAACAGGACAAAATACCAACTCTTATTCCAAATTGGTAAACAAGGAATTTAACATTGCGACCCGACAGTAATACCAACTCCCACCCCTCTCTGTGTACACAAGGACTTTAACATTGCAACAGGACAAAATACCAACTCTTATTCCAAATTGGTAAACAAGGAATTTAACATTAAAACAATACAAAGCAGGAATACCAACTCCCATTCCAAACTGGTAACCAAGGTCTTCACAATACCAACTCATCGAGTCTATCCTGTAACTAACAGCGACACAAATCTATTATTTGTCGGAGAGAAGAAAAAAGGTTGTCAAAGATAATATCAATGAATTGATTTAAGTTCAGTTACGTGTTGTTCCATGGACAGAACGACATCATACGTTAATATGGAATGTTTACGTTATATAGGTGTTTGTGGTGAACAGGAAGCGTGACAAACGCCCGACAGCACCCGGCGCCCAACGTACACCGTACTACACCACACTCCGCGGTCTAATTCAACAAATTAAGACAATCAAAGAAAACTGAAACATCAAAGGAACTATCTATACATAAATTTCAATGGAAAGAAGTTAAATCAGAAAGAGAAGAATATCAATTAAATGCTTATCTTATTCACTGTGCGCCGACCGGAAGTCATCAGTGTCTCAAGAGCCGTGGTTCATCTGGCCTTTGAGAGACTTGTGGGTAAACTTTGTCTAACGTTACGAGTATCGATGTTCCCAATCAGTCCCGGGTGATATTTAGCACAAGACCTATATAACAAGTACATTACGTTATTTGTGTAAACAATTTATCACTGTTATATTTCTCGTATCCAATTATAACATATATGCTGAATTTGTTACTTCATGAGAATAAACAATATAACAGTTGATGATGTAGAACAAGGATGTGTCGGCCTATCGTTAACGACAGGACTTGCTCTATAGCTGAAATTGATTCGGTTCTGTTTTTGTTACATAAAACTTAAGGACTGTAAAAAACATCCTGAAACAGTAATCCGGATTTCCTTCCCCTTTTTGACACGAAGTCTTCAGACCATTTCCAGTTTCAGTAATACATGTTATAGCTAACAGGACTTAAATAGCACATAAGCATAGGACGTTCTCGTGTGCCGTCATTGTTTCACGGCAAACATATAGTGTACCGGATACTGGCACACTCGCTTCGAAAATCCTAACTTCCGGTCAATCCTATGTTACAGACAAGAAACAATTTGACTAGCCAGAGACTCATATCTACTGAATTGTCAGTTATTCCGGTCAAATATCATCAGTCCAGCTGAAAATCGACACAAACCGTTCTCTTCTTTCCCTGCCACACCAATTAAAACATTATTGTAAGATAAGATTAAAATAATTATAAAAAAATCGTTGTACACAATATTGTATGAAGAGGTACGATTTACGACACTACAAAAGTCACAACCTTCACCGACTCGGGGTACTACGTCATCGGTATTTGTGTATGAATATTTGATTAAAACAATGAGCAAATCAGGGATATGGAACACATAAAGAATGGGAATGTTACAAGAAAATGCTTAAATGGAACAATTGAAGATTTTTATGATAGATATGTAACCGTGACATAATCACAAAACATTACAGTCTGAATGTGACAGCTTAGTGAACATAAATAGAAACGTCTAATCACAATGAGTATCACATAATAATCTCTGTCTTCAGAAAAAAAAATTCCCTGGGGGATTTTCACAGAAAAATACATTTGCTACGAACTTGAACATTATATATATTGATTTCTTTATTTACACCCCAATGAACACTAGAATGATCATCCTGAGAACACCACACACCCTCATGGGGTTACTAGTGCATAGCGCTTCAAAGGGCCGATTATACCACTGCCACAGCCCCTGATCCTCCAGCCGGCTGCTTGGGACATTTACACAGAAGGCACATGGTCAAACTTGGAGTGAAAATATACTGGCATTAAATAAGAGATTGTACATGGGTTCCACTGACGAAAGATCGACGTGCTTCTCCATAACAATGTGCAGAGACACGAGTATTTGTGACGGATGTAAGACGGTACGAGGGATCTCTAGTATTGACCATGTACCTTCTCGACAGAATGTGTTCCTTCTCCACCACGCATCATGTCACTTCCGGTCCTACAGCATTCGATTTCTATAAAATAACACAATTTTCAAAAGCACACTTCACAGATTTCATTATAATACACTCTTTTTCTCAGACTCTCCTCCTGAGTGTAGCATATTTCTTGTTACATCAGTGTCAACCCGTTGTTAACTACTGTAGTAATCCGTTACATATCCTCAGCTGACCTGCCTCTACAGCATGAAAGGAACACCACACCTAAAACTTCCTATCGAATTATTTTACTCCAATCAAATCAGTACTCTGCACATCTAGTCATAACCTTACTGTACTATGATATACTAGTTCCTGCAAACACATCACATCCGGTACAAAAATACTTCCGCATCTGCGCGCACGATCGGCATACATGTCGTCGTTGTATACCTAATATTCCTCGTGGTTTGAATTTGACTACACAGATTTTGTGTGCCTAAAACGCTAGTCCAGCACGAGACACGTGGTCATGTTTTCTCTGAGATATAGGTACACCTCTTTGGTGGCGCTGGGGCAATTTGTTAGTTCCAGCTCCTCTAGGTTCCGTAGTTGTGTGAGTCCACAGAGGCCCTGACTGGATACCAAAGTACAACCTACAATAGAAAAAGGACAAATTTCAATATTCATTAGTCGGGAAACGGTCAACTCACAGAAAGGTGTATTTTATCAAATGTAGACGATACGTAATATATATACATATTTGTATATTGGCCATGGAGGAAAATGACACACGTTCTGCCACCTAGAGCTTGAAGATGAATGATAAAGTCATTACCATCTGATCATCAAAATACATGTGTGCCTACCCTGAAGTAAATAATTACAAATGCATGTGTGACTACCCTGAAGTAAATAATTACAAATACATGTGAAGGTTATTAATAGTATAAACATACCAACTTTCGAAGGAGTGGACGAAAGAGTAAGTGGACTAATCGGTTGTTATGTTCAAATGATAGGAAGGGCAATAACTCCCTCAAATTACAAGATCGGTGGTGTGCCGGTCAAACCTATCAAGAATCAAGGAAAGACGAAGTTGTATTTACAGATAGAAGGAAAGATAAGTGGAGCCATATGTATCCTTAACTCAGTTGATGTACAGTATAATATTTAGTACAGTATAATTATAATATTTAGTACAGTATAATATTCATGGAAAGATAAAAAAAAAATATATCGGCCTTGTACTTTCAATGATGAACATTTTTGTAAAAAGTGATCACATACGACAGAGCGAAGTCGCGGTTCGAACTGAGGTGTAAGGAACCTCGTTTGTCAAAGTATTTCAGTGTATATTTCATGAGAAGCGACGTCAAAACGCTTTTTCCGTTTGTCGTGAGAGACAATTATGTCAGACAGTAAACATAACATTACCTGCATGATACGTGCAGTGTGAGGTCACTTATCAATCAATCGAATTAAGAGTAATCTGTAGAAATTATATCGATCGTATGACAAGCTAGCCGTTGACCAATGAAAGGACTTATGTGTAGCATGTGACCCGGAGAAATATGGCCATCAACGCCTCTAGAGTTATAACAGCACAAAAGGACCTGATATAAAACACTTATCGTTAGGCGCAAGACAGGGGACTGATTACCAGGCAATCCCGTATTGACAAAACACTTTGAAAGTACTTACAGGTCTTTTATCGCGGAGACGACTCGTCAATTACATTGGTCGATAAGGTAGGATGAGCGATAATGACGTCATCATAACCTTAACCAAATTGTCTTACTCGAGTCAAGCTTCACTCATACACATGTGTACAATACAGTGTTAGCAAGACAAGACATGCCCTCTGAGCAACTTTTCTAAATTCTCAGCACATCAAAATTAATTATATTACTTTGACTGTTCGTTTCCTCCAAACAGATGAGGTAAAATGAAAACAGATTGTCCACAGTTGTTGGGATCACTCTGTGGATACGGCAGCATGGCAATACACTCATTCACATTATTCGGAAAACGGGGCTTGCCAGTAAACATAATGCAGTTAACAGCAATTACAATAAACAAGAGGCCCATGGGCCTTAACGGTCACCTGATATCCGATTCAAACTAGGACTGTCATCCAGGGGCCAATTCATACTTTTCGTCGGTCCGAGTGACCTTGCTGCATCGTCCATTAATTTGTCCTTGTGAACACAATAACTTCAGTAAATATGAATCGATTTTGATGAAACTTTGTATGCAGCTTTGTAACAATGAGATCTTGGATGAGTTTGAATACCGGACCAATTTGACCATTTCTTCCATAGTTATTCCCCTTGGTAATTCTATTATTCTTGGACCCTGTGAACACGATAACTGAAATAAATGGGTGTGACTCCAATTTTGACCCAAGGGGTCTGTTTTGAACAAACTTGGTAACTGTTTGTCTTCTGTTCTTGGTTAAAAGAAACAAGTAAACGCGTAAATCAATGATTTATTTAATAAGGCACAACATTTTAATAGCACCTTGTTAGTAGCAAAAATGCGTCATGAATGCAAAAAAAGGCGTACCACATGAATTTACATCTATTCTTGTGTAATGTCAATCAACATCACAGGGACAAATATTAATGTAATGACAAAGGGCAATAACTCCGCAGGTTACCGTCAAATAATTACCGGACAAAGTTTCATTGAACTCCGTCAACATTTATTCAAATTATCGTGTTTACAAGGTCCAATAATAATATTATTACAAAGGGCAATAACTCTGTAAGTTACTGTCAAATAATTCCCAGTTGCGAACTCGTCCGAGATCTTATTGATATATGGTTGCATACAGAGTTTCATCAAACTTTGTTGATATTTACTCAAGTTATAGTGAACACAAGGTCCAATACAAAATAGTGTAATAATATTATTACAAAGGGAAATAACTCTGTAAGTTACTGTCGAATAATTCCCATTTCCAACTCATCCGAGATCTTATTGATATAAGGCCGCATACAAAGTTTCATAAAACTTGGTTGATAATTACTTCAGTTATCATGTTCACAAGGTCCAATAATAATAGTATTACAAAGGGCAAAGTTACTGTCGAATGATTCCCATTTATAGTCCGGGAGCTTATTGATATATGGCTGCATACAAAGTTTCATCAAACTCGGTTAACATTTACTCAAGCTCTCGTGTTCACAAGGTCCAATAATAATATTATTACAAAGGGCAATAACTCTGTAAGTTATTGTCAAATAATTCCAAGCATCGAACTCGTCCGAGATCTTATTGATATATGGTTGCATACAAAGTTTCATCAAACTCGGTTGACATTTACTGAAGTTATCGTGTTCACAAGGAAAAGTTAAGGCACGACGGACGACGACGGCAAAAGGCGATCACAATAGGTTACCATGACCTATGGTTAGGTAACCTAAAAAGTTATTTTAACTTACATTAATCACTTTTGTTGGCCCGGATGCTAGCATGCGTGTGGTCTATATATGGGAGGATATCGGGGTGCCAAGAGAAAACCTACGTGGTCGGGCAGGTGACCCCATACGTTTTCACGTCCAATCAGGGAATCGAACCCCGGTCGCCCTTTTGGGAGGCGATTGCCTTATCCACTGCGCCACCCGACAACTATTCCGAAAAACAGTAGGTAGCAACGAAAAGGGAACACACATAGATATGTCAAGTGAAACGGAGCAACTGGTCAATTATAAGCTGCTTCAGCAATTCGGGGGATCTTGCAGAGGGAGGCAGTAGGTCTTTTCTAGAACAGGAACGTGTAAAGCATTATAACTTACCTGTTCACCTACTGGTGTTAACTTGTCTTAAACACTCATACTTAGGAGGAATATGACTCGTTCGGAATTATAAATAGGATTCGGGTAGTATAGATTGACAGAGGTCAAGCAGCAAATCCGCTTTACACAGGTATCCGGATAAGTCAAGGTTTGGTTTCGAAATGTTTTAATGTATGTATTTGCATTACATATCTAGCATTGTACAAATCTCCTTGCTATAGACTATTAGGGGTGGGGGTGGGGCTCTTTAAAAACAGGAAAGAGTCAACCGAGCTGGATAAGGTAGGCTCACATTCAGGTCTACGGTGTTATGGCTAAATACCAAGTGTGAGATGTAACGAGATTTGAGGAGCTGGTAAATTGTTAAAGTCTAAAAGGATACCAATTTTAATGACATGGCTGGAAAAGAAGAAACCTTGTAAACCTACCGCATCCATCGACGATGCGTTTCTAACGTTAATGTCAGGCTATTAGCTGTGAATAACCATTTACAAAGACTTAATAGAGACTAAAATGTTCAGTTTGAGGGGTTCTTAACAAGTCATCTGAGAAGGCGGGTGAATACGTGAAGATGAGGGATTGCCATTGGTGGGCAACAACATTAGGATATCCCTTGGTCCGTAACTGCTGGTTAATAAAACCAGGAAAACCCCCATTCGGCACTGGTGGTCAATCCACTCTCTCCTACCCTTGCGGTTAACAAAGTTGCATCAAGTTTCATTGATGACACATCGTGAAAAAGTCTGGATCGATTGGTTCCACAATGGTTAAAATCTATTGGTATTGTGTTTAGCGGTGATTGATTGGAATCAATGGACATGTACACGTATGTTCTAAATTCACGTTTACTGATGAAGCAGTAATTAAATAGACTTCTTCCGTCTTCAAGCGACATTAAGTTGATTAGGCTTATACAAGCCATGCCTAATTAGTACAGGGCGACCCGAGCTGTACGTGTAGAGCAGTCTCTCAGTGGTCACTGAATGGTCAGTTACGACTAGGACAACTAATTGGCTATTGAATGGTTCCATTTGCCTATCGATTCCGTTACACGCGCGAGATGGTGACTCAAAACACCACCCGCAGCCATGGAAGAGATCCACAAAGCAGAGTCCACGTCTTCTGATGATTGTTAATCCGTATTTTGTTAATGACAAATATCGAATACCTAGTTGTTGGTGTCTCGTTAGCTATATTAATATCAGTATTAATGTTATCTTAATCACCAGATTCTCGTTTGTGCTCGGATCTCTGACAAAAGCTGTCAATTCTAGGCCTCCGTGTTGCGCCCCCAGTAGAGCGGTGATTCAAAGGCCATGGCTCGCTCCTAGAGAACACCAATACCTTGTCGAATCGATATGGCTTCTAGCCCCAACTCTGTTAACGTAGAGCTGCCATCCATCTATTTTTGTTGTGCCCTTGTGCGAAACTAGGAAACTTACCGGTATGTTGTAGAAAGTGTAAAGACAGCTTCATGACCTGGCTAGGAACAGTATGTGTTCCGCGTATAACAGAAATAAAAAACAAGTATACTGCAATAAAACCTACAGAAGATAGGCAAATTCACACTAACTCGTTATTAATTCTATATCTTCGTTGCCCTCGTAAACGTCCAATGTAAAAAAACGACGTTTGGTACAACATGGCCACAGTACATGTGTGGTGACTTGAGGTAGGAATACTTACACACTGACAGAGGTGGGGAAATATCTTACATACAGAATTGGGGAATAGTTACATACCAAGTCGTGGAAACCACTTTACACACAGGCTTGGGCACTATTTTACATATAAAAGCGTGGACTATTTTACACACTGATGCGGTGACTTCTTTACATACAGAGGTGATAACTACTTTACAAATGTGGAAATTACATACAGAAGTTATGATTACTTGCATACAAAGTTTGAAACTAGATACAGAGATGGGGACTATCATACATATAAAGGTTGGGACTAATTATAATACAATGGTGGGACTACTTTACATAAACAGATGGACACTATTTAACATACAGGGGTTGAGACTACTTTACTTACACATTTTGGGACAACTTTACATACAGAAGCGGGGACTACTTTACACACAGACGTGTGGACTGCTTTACATACAGAGGTGACTTCCTCACACAAAAAGGTTGGGACAACTTTATACAGAGGTGGGGAGTACACGTACAGATGTGGGGACTACTTTACATCTAGAGTTACGGCCGAATTTACACACTGAAGAAGGGACTATTTTACCTGCAGTGATATAATTAGTTTACCTACAGGGATGGGGGTACATTTAATTAGCCTGCATTGGGGATACGATTATCCCGATGATTACCGTATCTTTGATTGGGTATTACCTACAAAAGTTCAGCCTTCTCTCCATGTATATGGACCACTATTGAATTCGAATGAAGTAACCTAGCGGAGTAAGAACGATGTTTTTTACCCAATTCATTGGACTAATTTACCTATAGATTGTGATATTTTTTACCCAATTCCTTGGACTAATTTACCTATAGATTGTGATATTTTACAAACAAATACTGAAAGAAAAACTACATGAAGTGTCGGGGACTACTTTCACTATAAGACTATGGACTACTTTCTACAGAAATGGGGATTATTTTATCTGCGGATTGGGGGGACTATTGTAGTTACAGGACTCGAATCTTGACACACAATCTTCTACATTAACCTCTTAGACATAAATCTCCAAACAAACCAACCCTACTTCACCCACTAGTTTACCCCCGTGGGCATGCTGAACCTGTATACAGCAGCTTCATCAACAACAAATGGAGTTACATACCTGCTAGAGAAAGCACTCGTAGATTCCGCATGGAATACATATGCTGCAAACCAAAATCTCTGATCTGTGTGCACCAACGTAAGTACAGCCGTAGTAGTGACGTCATTGTGGACAGGTAACCAACACCTATGTCTGTCACGTGGGAACACCTGTAAAACAAAACCGGAAACGGTTGTCATTTACTGGACATTACACCTTCTCGGTGAGCAATTGTGCCGTCTTAGATCTTACTGTTCATAATAATAAACTATTTTTTTTGAAGATTAAAACCTGACTTATCCGAGGGCTTATCACCCTCAGGGTCTTCACCGTATAGGACGTAATCGTCGTGTCTGCGTCTGTGTTGGTTTAACTACTCTTGTACTGCAGTCTTAAAATGTCACGAAATACAATGTACTTATTGATAGATGTTTGGTCGTATTTTTGTCTTTGTTTGGTTTTACCACAGAATTATATTAGATCTACGTTTTGTAAGACAGTGGTTTTAATGTTCTCGTACTCTAGACCAAAAATGTCAATAGGTACTAATTGATAGATGTTGGTCGTATTTGGAGTAGAAATATGACATACGCATTACTACAACTGTAGGTTGTTCTAAATCGTTCAGCTAGTCAGGTGTCTCTTTAACCGACATGTATAAGCTTTGTAAAACACACTCCATTTTGTTCTAGTGACGCCCAATCACACCTCTATTTTGACATTCAGTATGACGTCATTTAGCCGGATTGACGGCGCAAAAATATCACGTTAAATTTTACGGGTCGGGAAAATAATCACTCACATTTTGTTTCAAAAACTTAATGAACCTAATCTGAGTATGACACCAGGAAAATACTTTATTTTGACTTGTCTATGATTACACAGCATCCCTCGATGAATTGAAATGTTACATCAAGTTTTATCGTTATAGTTTACTATATAAAACCGTGATGCCTCTTTACTTAGTATTTTCTAGTGACTGTTTTACGTCACGATGTGGTAGACTATCAGTCTCCGAGGTTGGCCGTAACCTTGTACAACTTGGATTTTTCTTGTGCGTTTTACATGGAATACTAGAGGTCTCGAAAAGCCTATATGTTACAGCTAAAAGTTGTATTTTTTTAACGTTTTAAGTGTTAAAGGCATGTTTTCTTTCTGTCAGTGTTTACTATATATGTATCGGAACACTTTAGACACGGATCTCAATGTTTGACAACTGTATCACTGGTGAGTCCAAAATGGACGAATTGGCCACATAGTGGAGTAAAATATTACCTGTTTGGAAACCTCGGCGTCAACTTGTTCAGGTTTTGAATAGGTGCCACTTCGTATTTTCAGTGATTATTGCCGCACAACAAATTCAATAAAAAGTTGTACAGCTACGTATACCAACTTGTATCTTCTAAAGACAGCTTCTTAAACATTTACATTTTGCTAACTTCTGCAGTTTGACAGTCTGCTTACTTATAGACAACAAACATAAACTGCAGCCTTTGTTCTGCTATCCTGTTCTCGGGATTCCCGGTCTAACCATGTTTAAGCCATTCACAGCTAATATACGCTTGCCTTATTCCTACAAACACATGGACGGGTCGTTTGATATGTTTGTAAGTATTCATCCTCGAACTGTCGAGTTTACCCGGGATTAACATAACCATACATACAAACGGAAGACTATCACAATAAAATAAACAGATATTCCATCACCAAGCATGTCGCTATGAATATATATTATAAGCACCTGTAAAATACGTGTATGGTTTATATACATGTACTCTAATGCTCTGTACCCAGACACGGAAGTTCTATGTACCCGTATCCTACTTTCTGAACCGATAGCGTGCTACCATATCCGGAATCGTAGACTGGCTGGCTGCCGGTATCCTCACTAACCACTACCATTAGGCAACTAGATCAAAGTTCGATACCATTGGTGATTACATAACAGTTTGATACCGTTTGTTCGATTTACACATAAAGCGCTAGTAAATGATCCCCCCTCCAAGATACGTGAAGATACACAATAGACGTTAATTTCAGAAGAAATTTAAGAAGGAAATTGGTTTACAACATACAGTGCTACCAGATCAATCTGTAAGACTGTAAGTGAAGTTATATATATAAATATATATATAAGCGTCATTTAAGTAACCAGTCTCAGATTTACTCTGCTGTAGCCGTCGTTATTTTGGTTCATCAATCTCTAAAAGATTTACTCTATTATTGCAGTAATTATGTTCATCAGTTTCTAGAAGATTTCAGTTAAGATGTGGTTATAATGTTATTCAGTCTCTANGATTTCACAGTCTTGTTGTCGTTATTTTGGTTCATCAGTCTCTAGAAGATTTCACAGTCTTGTTGTCGTTATTTTGGTTCATCAGTCTCTAGAAGATTTCACAGTCTTGTTGTCGTTATTTTGGTTCATCAGTCTCTAGAAGATTTCACAGTCTTGTTGTCGTTATTTTGGTTCATCAGTCTCTAGAAGATTTCACAGTCTTGTTGTCGTTATTTTGGTTCATCAGTCTCTAGAAGATTTCAAAATCTTGTAGCCATTATTTTGTTCCTCAGTCTCTAGAAGATTTCAAAATCTTGTTGTCGTTATTTTGTTCCTCAGTCTCTAGAAAATTTCACAGTCTTGTAGCCATTATTTTGTTCCTCAGTCTCTAAAAGATTTCAAAGTGTTGTTGTCGTTATATTGTTATTCAGTCTCTGGAAGATTTAAAAGTCTTGTTGTCGTTATTTTGTTCCTCAGTCTCTAAAAGATTTCAAAGTGTTGTTGTCGTTATATTGTTATTCAGTCTCTGGAAGATTTAAAAGTCTTGTTGTCGTTATTTTGTACCTCAGTCTCTAGAAGATTTCAAAATCTTGTAGCCATTATTTTGTTCCTCAGTCTCTAGGAGATTTCAAAATATTGATGTCGTTATTTTGTTCATCAGTCTCTAGAAGATTTCAAAATCTTGTTGTCGTTATTTTGGCTCATCAGTCTCTAGAAGATTTCACAGTCTTGTTGTCGTTATATTGTTCCTCAGTCTCTAGAAGATTTCACTGTCTTACTGTCGTTATCTACGCCTTTCCTAACATGATAACTCTTCATAACAAGCAAGCGCGGATGAGCGCCTCAAATACAGCAACTACTATCGACTCATCCCGACGTGATGCCACTTAATGGGGGTCTCTTGTGTAATGTATTAGAACCAGTATCGGAGCAGCTACCAAAACGTCATCAATAATTCATAACGTTGTATATTTCTCAACAAATTTGATCTACTGCTGAACAAGGGACATATTACAAAACAGTCGAGACGCAAATAGAAAGCGTTTGTATAATGGGTCTCTCCTCACACAGATAAGGCCGTGCATCCAGATATTACTCGCTGTTCTCTCGTCACATCGATAGGGCTGTACCTCCAGTTAACAATGTATAACATAAAAACATATTTATGCTAGACTGTTTAATTAACGACTATGTATACTTCGGCCGTACGGATGACGCTTATGATGATAATGCAGTTTTGAAGCATAACCATGAATATACCATCCGTAATTAAAAATCTCCTCATTGAAATGTGAGTAAATACGTGTCCCAATGTATCATTTGTCACTCTGCAAAATACAGGAACGTACTGTACCTCAGTTCTAGGAGACTGACCAACGCATATCGACAATTAATTAAACGACATTCGCGATTCAGGCAGAAATTAAATTGTCTCGTTTGGCTGTACGTGTAACGCCCGTAACGCCCGTCCGTGTTGTCATCTACGCGGACCCCACAACGATGACGTATCGACACGTCTGTCATGATGGAGATGTATATTGACACCCCAGTCCCTAATACCTTCAGGCTGATTGGATTTGTCTCCTTAAAACAATTTGTGTAGATATTGCTTTTGTTCCATTGTCAGCTATGACCTTGACCGAGGAAATTCCGTTTGTATCGATCCGGCTCTGCCCGAGAAAGAGTCGGCAGATCTTCGTATTCCCATGAGACGCCATGTGCGTTTAAGAAACATGCTATTTCCGAACTGTTACTATTCATAATCTTCCTTCACAAGATCATGTAGGATCTGAACATTGACTATCTTGCTCCTCCTGTAAGTCGATGGATAGCTGGGTGAACGAAAAGGGCGGCAACTTGTGTCCCCAAGGCGCCCATGTTTCATATTGATAGCAGACATTGGTTATTAATAGACTGTTCTGTCTTGTTGATTTTTGTTATCGTCTGAAGGAGATCAATGGTGTGTGTGATTGTATTGAGAAAACAATTACAACAAGCGACTAGCAACATTAAGTTGACAAAACAGCATGCGACTGGATTAGAACACAGCCCCCTATATGGTATCTAAAGCTCCTTGTGTTTACAAAAGAGCACAAACGGTAAATAGACAAATACATTTTTGATAGGACGTTCTATCTGATGTCTTTATTTTTGCTCATAGAAGCTCCTCAAGCGAAAATCAACACACGACCATAAATGTAAGCGTACATCCGAGGACAAACTGAGTCGACCACAAGGCACATCACAAGGCACATCACATGACTAGCGCAGGGCTAGGTGTGATGGGTATGATGCCATCAGTTCTTTTATGTCTGTCAATACGAAACCTCTGACCCAAGATCCAGTCAATCTTTCCCAATCATGTATAATTGGATGTATTAGAAATGAAGGAATTTGTAGGTACAGCTCAAATCGATCGAGATGGAGCCACAACATTGAAATATATATCGTGTAGTAGATGGGGTGTCAATCACAAGCACATCGCATACAGCTGATACCATAGCCGGCATCATTCCTCCAAATCATCCAAAGCACAACAACCTTGCTATCTAGAGCTTCGATCCATGTTTAAAAAGAACAAATCACATTCCAAAATGAACTTTTCTGAAGCAAAATGGAGGCTTCGGTCAGCCATGAAGAAGCTTGATGATGGCTTCTATATTTGGGTTTTCAGTAATAGTGACAATAGTGATAAATGAGGTCTGTAACCCTTCCCTCCACAGCGTTAATCATAAACCATTCAGTGGTGATTTTACACACTAGGGACGTTTTGTCAAAAACAAGGTCATAAACAGTCTGTGGCGCAACGTTCATGACAGCTTTCAGTGTGGATAACGCTTTTACTCTCGTGTTAATGATATAATGAAACGAGATAGCTGTGTAACACATGCACCT